CTAGTATGATAAGGATGCTCAAAAAAAGCTATGGAAATGTCCTCATTTTGAAATAGCTCTCTTTGTGCAGGTCTGTTTACTGTTTGTCTCACCCTTCTAAGCATCTAAGGCTTTTAACCTCTGGGGGAAAAAAAACCAACCCTTTTTATTACTGCCCAGGTACTTCTGCCTTCATACCTAATATACAATCTGGCCATTTTCTGCTCAGAGAGTAGTGATGAGGGAAAAATAGAGCATGTGGTTTTTGTCAATATGAACTTGCCCTAGAACCTGCTGTTACTGGGACTATACCCAAGTCTGAGTGCCTGCTACGTGCCTTCCTCCCCTTTTATCCCTCTTGAATCACATAAAGGTGTCCTTGTCTCAGCTCTGACAGGTTGCAAAGTGCTTCCTGTACTGCAGAAGTTAACTGATCTCAGTCTATGGGCACGCAAATGTACAGGAGAAAGAAATATCTCACTCCTGTCTGATAACAGGAGTTAGACACTTTTACTGAAGTACAGGAACAGGGTTAGGTAAAGCTTCTCATTAGGCCAACTGATGTGACCTGACCTTTGTGACATCATACATGTGGGCTACTCTCTTGCATTCAAAAGCTGTGACAGCAGCAGAGAAATCCAGTGGCTTATCTGATAATCAACCAAGCCTTCAGTTCCCAGAAGTCAGTATTGTTCCATTGGCTCCAGTTAACCATGAATGTTTACATCCATCATATGAAAATATTTTGAATTTGTTAATTTGTTGGCTACTAGCTTAATGAAACATGCTGGCACCTGCCATCATCTCTGAAGTCAACAGAAGTCCCAGGGCTATTTCCTGTGCATCCAATCTGGCATTTGATACAGCCCTACCTAGATTAAGAACTCGTGTATGGGTAATGAACTTTCAGAGCCATACATGAGTGCCAAGTTGTGGTTCACAAGGAATTCGGGGGCAATACACCCAGGGCTGGCTTCACATGCCTTTGGAGCATAATTGGAGAAGAATGTTAAATCATCTCCTAAATAAGCAAGAGAGAGGGCCTTGGCACAGGGCATCCTCTGACTCCACAGCAATTACATCTGCACAGCTTTCAGCACTTCATCCTTTTGTAGCACTCCTCTTCCTTCCTAATGAAGGAGAGAAAAGAAAAGCAAAAAGAAAAACATCTGCAGGGCTCAGTACCTAGAGCACTCTGTTATCCCTATGTAAATCCAAATATCTCCATGGGCTTCAACAAAGAACTAAGGTGGATTTAGCTACCTGTGGAGATACTTGGCTTCTGAATTCTTTTCAGCACTCTGTTCCTCATGCAGCAAGGGAGAATCTCTTTACATCAGCAACATTTATTGATGAAGCTGTTCTGTAACATCAGTAGCCTTTGTGAGAGGTTACAATGAAATGTGGAAAGACAGAGCAGGAATGTTGGACCTTTCTCAAGCTGGAAATATCACAGCTGAAGACTCAGTTTCTCTGGCAAATGAATATAGTGAAAGAATGTTCTAGCATCAGACTTTTGGTGTCTCCCTTGAACTCATCTTGGCAATTGATAAATTATGTACTGTCAGAATGACTCTACTGATCTATGGGGTTAAAAAGAAAAAAGTTAATTGTCCAGGACCATGAATCATTACTTTGATTGAATCAATGCAAGCTAGATTACATCAGATCTGATTCTAGCTTAGAAGAGGCTCATGTGTGCATCCAGAAAAGTGTATGTGAATTTTATGTGTCTGAGAACTGGCTCTAGGACACACAACTGAACTGGTAGCAATTTGCTCTGTTTTTAGCCAAAAGTTTCACAAGTGTCAATTATAGACTGACACTACTATAACTTCATACTGAAACTAATACAGATGTTATGGGTACAAGCTGCTTTTATAGAGAGGGAAAAGCTCCAGAAAAACAGGACTCTGTATGTCACCTGTATGTAAGTTGCCCCATTAAACTGCTCTTCCCAAAAATTGACATTATCCAGAGTTCCCGGATGCCCTGAGATGTTGGTAAGTGGTAGCAAAGAGAAATCTACATGTCCACATAATTTCTAATTTCTTGGGCTTTGGAAGAAACTCAGTTTCCTGGTTGGAAATGTCTTTAGAAGCGACACACAGCACAGCAGAAAAATGATGGGTCTCTCTCATGCAGTGAATTGTCCTTGAAATACAACAAATCCTCATGGTATTTTAACATACTTGAGAGTCCAATTCATTTATATATTACTTTTCACTACACACTTATGAGAACTGAAAGTAATTGTGCCTGTCCTCTTTCTAGAGATAAGAGAACTGGAAGCAAAACCTGGCTCATTCAAAGCAATCACTCAAGACCTAGGTCAGGATTAGAAGTCTTTAAGGAAAAAAAGAAATGCAACAACTCTTCAGGAAAAATTAAAATTAACTGAAAGAGAGGCTTACTGTCTGCAGATGTATTGTACATTTATATTGCCCAAACTCCTTTAGAAACTTATTGGCATCTGTGATCCCAATCCTAATGAGTTCTGCCTTTATCTATGTAAATTGAATATTTACTTTCACTGGTAAACTACAAAGTGTTTCTCTTATAATAAGACATAGCAGAAAGTGAAAAAAAATTACGTTATTACTTTTGTAGCTTGGTATGTAATGCTGCTCAGGACTCACAGGAGAATAAGATTACAAGACTGAAAATTCTTTATCTCTTATTTTGGAAAATCACTTACCTCTATCTAATAATTTCCATTATCAATCTACACTGTTCACGTTATTTCAGAAGAGATTGAAATGAGCATAATAACCCAAAACAAGTGTCTTCGGTACATATGATGACACGACAATCTTTTCATATGACTCTTCTGGTTTTGTTTCTTATAACACCATGCAAATGGACACCTTTTGTAAGATCTAGCAACATAATACACTCAAGAATACTTCAGGATACTTGTTTGGCAATGGTGATTTTTTTTAAAGCTACCTATTTCTGTAGCTTAATTAGCAAGCTTTTTATTAGAGTTTTGCACCTTTTTAAACCTCATCTCATCTAGGTGGCAAAATCAGTAGAAATTATAAATTTCTCTCACTCGCCATTAGTTTCTAAGAAGACTAATATTTTAACAATATTGCTACCTTGTCTGTTACTCAGCTACTGAAGTTTTGACTGAAGTCTTTCCCTAAGCAGGGAAGACTTGACAGTCATCTCTTTGGTCTTCCATATCCTCCGTATCCTAAATTACAGGGAAGATACCAGATGTTTCTAGATAAGCATTTTGCTCTTGACAGGATCATCAGACACATCAATCAATGCACCCATAGCTTTGCCTCTGCTGCAACAACAGCAGGTTAGTTTGTAATTGTTGTTCCATGCCACACAAAGCAGCCTGTACCTTTGATTACCCATGACATTACATTAGCACCCAGCTCTATTTCCAGCTCTGCTTGCATTAACAGCACCAAACAACACTAAAGGCCCATTTGCTCTCTGTGGTCCAGTGACAAGGAAAAGCTGCCTGCACACATGTGGGGATGCTGCAGCTGGTCTCGGAAAGCAGCAGCTTGGAAGAGAAAACCCACTCACAATTCAGTACCTTCAGGTAGTGTTAGGGAGCTGGTGAGACTCACACTGATTCCAATTAAATTTGTCTCCAGCATCAAGGTCTAAGAGAAAAATCCCAGCAAAGTGCCCAGAGCAGTCGTGGATTTTTCAAGGTGAAAGAGCCTTTCTGCCAGATATATTTTTAATTAACTTTTAACCGGTAAACCTCAAATATTTTCCTTTTATGTACACTTTTTTTCCTGACACAAAACCAGCATAGAAAATAAGGAGGGAGGAAGCTTCCTACACCTCTGCAATTGTCTCCATCATGGCAGAACTTATTCTCAGTCACCCAGGGTGGGACTGAAGCAATGTAAGAAATTTTGGAGCCTTATAACTGATGGCTGCTCAGGAAAGCAAAGTTGCTCTTTCAGCTACTTCTTAGCACCACCAAAAAAGTAACTTCAATATTTTAAAATTTTCAGATTCAGATTATATTCAAGCTTTGTGATGAAAAAGAGAAAAAAGTACATGTCCAAGATTTTCAAGAAAAGCAAAAGCTTCCCATTTCAGAAAGACCTGAACAATCTCTATAACTACTTGTGTGGCTCATTAATGTGTATGATTACCGTGTACCAAACATTGTAACACCAGAGTTTTGTTAGGTTTTATTTTCAGTTAGAATGATGTTGAAGCTGTTGGGTTTATTCCTCAGGAAGTCACAACGCAAAAAAGGACTTAATTTGACCCAAATTCTGAAGCATGAAACGAAAGAGCACATCTTCCTTACGCTAAGCAGTGGCAATTTGAATTACAGAATCACAGAGTGGGAAAGCCCCAGCTTGCCGGCGGGGAGGCGAGGACAAGAAAGGTCAGGGGACGTCCACGGGAACGATGGCGAAGAGACGGGCCAGCTCACCGCGCCCACGTTTCCCGGCACCCACGGGACGGAGTTTCCCCGCGCTGGGCAGCGACGAGAACCGCGCGTCTACCCACGGGCGCGGGAGGGCGCGGTCCGGCAGGGGGCGGGGCGCCGCCATGCAAATCAGGTCCTCACAGCCAATAGGCGGGCGAGCCGACCGAAGGGGTGGGGCGTTCCGCGGGGATGAGCGCTCGCCTCGACGGCGCGGCACCGACACCGACACCGACACTGGCACCTTCGGCACCGGCACGTCGGGGAGCGGCGCGGGCGGAGCGGAGCGACACAGGACCGGCCAGACTGCCCTGCCCGGAGGTGAGTACCTGCCGGGACGGGGCAGGACGAGACAGCGTTTTCCTTGGGGGCCAGGCAGGGTTTGTTCGTTTCCTCACCCCGGGCACAGCCGGTGCTGGCTCCCGGGGCGGGGGCACAACCGTATTCCCGAGCTCCCCTGAGCATCAAGGGGGCGGGGCGCCGCCATGCAAATCAGGTCCTCACAGCCAATAGGCGGGCGAGCCGACCGAAGGGGTGGGGCGTTCCGCGGGGATGAGCGCTCGCCTCGACGGCGCGGCACCGACACCGACACTGACACTGGCACCTTCGGCACCGGCACGTCGGGGAGCAGCACCGGCACCTTCGGCACCGGCACGTCGGGGAGCGGCGCGGGCGGAGCGGAGCGACACAGGACCGGCCAGACTGCCCTGCCCGGAGGTGAGTACCTGCCGGGACGGGGCAGGACGAGACAGCGTTTTCCTTGGGGGCCAGGCAGGGTTTGTTGGTTTCCTCACCCCGGGCACAGCCGGTGCTGGCTCCCGGGACGGGGGCACAACCGTATTCCCGAGCTCCCCTGAGCATCAGCTGGAGTTCCCGGAGGCCGAGGCGCCCGGAGCTGCTGCCGGAGGGAGGGCACTGCTGGGCAGCGCCGGAGCCCGGGCTGGCCGCCCCTTCCCGGGCTGTCGGGGCGCGCCCGGTGCTCGGCAGCCAGCCCAGCCGGCGAGGCGGAGGGACCGCGGGGCGTGCGGGGCGCTCGGCACCTCGGTTTTGCCTAAGAGTACCCGAAATTGTCCCTTTTGAATCGAGTCGTGAAGTCTGAAGCCCGGTGGCAGGAGAGATGGTAGGAAATGCGGACGGGGCTTTTGGGTCCGAAGGTGCCTAGCCCTGGTCCTCATGGAATGCAAAAGGGATGGCTAGGTTTTCACAGGATGAGAGAAAAACAGAGACATTGGATGTGCCTTCTCATCCAGTCACAACGGATGTCTGCATGTCCACTGCCTTGTTTGTCTGGCTTAACGAGTATCAACATTTTATTCATAGTGCTCATACATGGTTATGAATAGCTTCACAGCAGATTTTACAGAAAATTTGGTTTGTATGCAAAATATAATAGCTTTTCCTTTGTTCTTGAGTGTCATCATGATCATATCTAGAAGTGGATGCAAAAGTTAACATTCTTTGATTGCTTCCGATTAAATTGATACTCATTTCCTTCCTACCAAGAACTGGCCCTCGTGTATGTCTGAGATAACTACATGTCACTCTGATACGGAGAAAGGAAATGACTACAATAACAGCACTGGCCAAAAACGGACGTTTGCACTTCTTGTTCCTGTTCTTTAGAGGGTATTTTAGCAACCGTCTTTTAAGCTGTCAGGTGTCAAAATGGCAATCTATTACTATTTAGGATGAGAATACAATTTGAGTGATAATGCTTTCTTACCAGTGCTGATACTCACTATTTAAATAGTGGTGAGACAACAAGATGACCATAATTTTTTTTTTTAATTCAAAAGAGACCAGAGGTCTAACAGATGAACAGAATAAATGTCATCATTAGGAAAGGATGGTTTAGGTATCCAGCTCCTCTGATGACCTTTTTTCTCTGGCTGCCTTGTGTGCCCACTGCCCTGGAACTGAAATTGTGTGTTCTGTCATATGTTATCTTGTGTTTTGGCTGAGGCTAAAACTGCAGGCCAAGCTCTGTTGTTGAAAGACATCTCAATGAAGAAAGTGAGCATGGTACAGGAGGTGTCTTGAGACATTAAAATGAGTAAAATGTAGTACCTTCTGGGCACTGCACATAAAAGTGATGCTTTGGAATGCAACTGCATGCTCTATCAGTCCTGGAGAATTTGGGTGCTGTGGGATTGGGTTCCATGTCTGACATCTTTCACTATACTAACACTAACAGTGTTAACCAAACCTGCTTCAGAAGGAGAAATGGTAGTTGCGTAAATAATAGAGAAATAAGAGAATCTGCTGCATGAAATAAGTCCCCTAAATTTCTCCCCATCATGGGCAGCACTGTGTGAATATACACTTTGTGCTGGACCCACAGTGACACTGGGGGTGAGGGTACTGAACAAATCCTGGGAATGCAGGGCCACTGTGGGACTGTAAGACATTGATTTATCCATTTGGTGCACTGGAGCTGTGCACCTAAACCAGGCCTGAGAGGGCTTTCTGTATCTTCTCTCTTTCTGTCAAGGGAGAAGGTCCCACAGTGCTTCCACAGAGAAATGGTCCAATTTTCAGCAAGTCACAGCCAGTTCAACATAGGCCTGGTGAAAGAAATTGATTACTTCACCCATTTCCAGTGTCAACACAGGGATCAAACTCACCATTTCCCTTTCCATAGAAAACTCCTTTTATGTCCTGGAGTACTGTGTCTCCCTCCCTGGTCTTCTGAATTAAATGAAGATAATTCGTTCTGCTCCTCTTTCTCCAGAAGTGTATTTTCTAAAATGTTTGGAGACAATTATATGCCAAATATGCTCCCTTTGGCTTTCCTAATGTGATAACTGTTTCAGGATGTACTTTTCCAACTGAGGCCTTATCTATGCCAAGCAGAGTAAAACCAGTCCTTCCCAAGCCATCTCTCATTTAAGATATTAGGTTTTGGTTTTTTTAGAATGACCCTATATTGTGAGCTTGTTTTGTGGCTTGCAGTCAGCTATAACCTCACCAATGCCTTCCTGCTGCCAAACTAGGTATTTCCTACTTTATATTTGTGTGAATAATTTTATCTAAATGTGCCAGGCTTGACTATATTGAATTTCCTTTTCTTTTTGTTAATTATTCTCTTACTGTGAAGATCTCTTTAAATTCTCATAATTTCTCCTTCCCTGCCCTCACCAAACACTTGCTTCTACTCTCAGTTCAGTGTTGCCTGGAGACTGTACAAGCTCATATTTGGTTTCACTCTCCAAGTCACTAATGAAAAATGTGGATAATCTCTGAGTGTGACAGATACCCATCCTAATGCTGATATGTTCAAAACCAGTTCTGATGGTGAGAAGACAACTGCTGTGTCAAATATGAAGGTGTTGGACCAGATACTTTCTATTATCTTTTATCTGGCCCATCAATTTTCTTTGACTCTGGTCCTTCCTGTAGTTCAAGGATGACAAAACAGTGCAGAAGTAACTGAGGCAATGTTAACTTGATCCAGTAAACCTATCTCAATGCCAAATCTGGGGTTACCACTTTTTGCAGTGAAGCCATTTTTGCTTATGCTTACATTTTGGGTTATTCCCCAAGATGTGGCCATGAACCAGCTCTGGTGAGGAACATCATTCCCAGGGAGCAGCCTAGGGCTGGCTCCTGGGAACCCTCTCTTGGGTAGTGGGGGGGTTCCACATGAGGGGAGTGAAACAATTTGGTTTTTATCTCTGCTTTGATAGGCTAGATGAGATATCAAGGCACTCTACACAATCAGCAAGAGCTCTCACACAGTGCTTGGCACTTACATCTAGATAAAACTACATGTAGTTTTATCAGAGAGAGAATGATGTTACATATCTTGACTTCTGAAGGCTTATCATGTGTGCAGCTTTTGCCTAATCCGCTATGGCAGTTAACCCATTAATTACCAGGATTATTCTCAACAAGCTCGTGTTCACAAAAGTGAAGGAATTACTGCACGACAGCTTTTCCTGCTATGCCTTTTCTCTGTGCTGATTTTGTGGTATTGCAACTCACTTATTTTTGAAAGCAAGAATAAAGCTTGTTTGAGCTTTTGATATGCCCAACCAGGTGTGTCCCTAATTACATCTATATCTTGTCTCAACTTCACGGGTGCTTTGAATGGGCCTGTAAACACCCATGAGCTGCTAAGTAGCGTAACTGCCATAAAGCCTGACATGTCCTGGGGCTGAAGCTGTGGGTGTGCATGTGTAGCTGGCTATAAGGGTTATTTCCTGGCTGGAACTAGTTTGGTGCTGGTACAGTTGTGTAGATTTTGCAATAGAATCCCAAACTGAGCCTCACGTGTACCGGCCCACATGACCAAATACCAAGAAAACCCTGTATTTAACCTTAAAGGAATTTTTTTAAAGTCAAAAGTACTTGGTGTCAGATTGTAACACTTTCTAACAAATCTTAAATATATGTGCTTTTCAAAAAATAATGCAGTTGTGCTAATTTAAAAACGTCAGTAGAACATGTTTCTTCTGACTGATGATCACATGCGACCTCATATTTCTATTTACATACCAACATAATGTCTTAATCACTTACAAATACCACAGTGTGGTAGCAATAGTAGTTATATACCAGTGGCATATACACAGCTATTTCGCTGAGCCAATGTGTTCCAGGGAAGCCGAGGTGATTAATTAGATAATGTTATATTATATAATATAATATATTAATTATATTCTCATGGTGCTGTAGCGCCAGCACTGCCTGTGAGTGTGCTGGCTGATTGCCCTGCACGGGGACCTGTAATGATGCTGACCTGTAGTAATTGCCAAGAAATGCACAGATGGCTGTCTCACTATTTATATTAAGTGGTATGGATCTGTCTTAACCATTTGCCAAGCCCTTGGAGGTACAGTTCACACTCCCCTTCTCTCTATCTAGGCCAAATTTATCTGAAGACCTTGGTGTTGCAAACCAGTGAAGATGCAGAAACCTTTTTTGTCTATAGCCCTGTTACCTCTGCTCCCCACCCCACCCAAACACCACCAAATCTAGTTACAAGTGCTCATTTATGTGACTTGTGAGGCAAATTTTAAGAGGAGATACTGAGAATCCATTTTATCTGTCCACTATTGAAAGTTTGTCAGTGGTGATCCATAGCTCTCCAGTGAAAATTTAGACAATATAGTAGCAGTCAACCCGTGTAAAACAAACTGACCTCTCCAACACAGGGATAATGTTTACTCTCATGGCTACTGAGTAATAACAAGTTAAAACATCAGATTTTTTTCTCAGTCTTATAAATAAATATGTGAAAAATGGCATATTATAATGCATTTAATGCACACCAGCAGTGTCTCCTAGTTTTGATACTAATGTCTGGAAAAGCTGATAACCAGTCCACAGAAAACACCAGGATGGTTAACCTGCTATATTCACCAGGATGGTTAACCATATTCAATACATCTGAGAAGTATGAGATGCACCCTAGATCCTTCAATTTATAATATGTTGTCATATAAAAACTGAGAGTTCTTTTCTGTTGAAGAGATTAAATACTGGTAAAGAAACTGAGATAAGTCAAAGAAGACCCTCCAAAGCTATCAGTATTGTAGAAATTACTGCCTAATTTCTTTGAATTAGAGGCGACAATTGGAATTAATCCCCCCCCCCACCCCCACCCCCAGGTTTTTCCTAGACTTTGTGATAGGAAAGGAACCACTGGAGACTTGGAGTTTCTGCCAGATGCAGAAGTAGCCTGCAAAGAATGGAGTTATCCTTACTTCTCTGAATATATTAGCTTGTAATAAATAACTTATCCTGGCAGAGGACAGGGATATTTTGGGAAAAAACAATACCCTGAGACATTTGCAAGTGCAGATATGTGTCTCTAGTGACAGAAACTGTAAAGGTAGTCTTCTGCTGTACACAGGCTTTGATGATCCTACGAGCTGGGTAGTGTAGTCTTCAGATACACTTGCAACTTCTTGATGGATTTCTTTAGCTTTAGAACTGGCATTCAGTGTTAACTGATGGATTTTAATTCCTGAATACATTTTGTCTATTTTTAAACATTGTGAAATCCAAGAAACTCCAGAGAGGATAACTTCCTTTCAATGAGGCCGCAAAAAGATTTTGAACTGCTGATCTCTGTCATAGTTGTTAATAATCTTGGAATTAGTACACATACGTGATCTTAGAACAGCTTGAGAAGGCAAACTGTCCTAATCATTAGATTATAATTTTTTTTTTGTTTCAGGCTCTTGCAGAGGAGAAGAAAGAAAAAAAGATGACTAATTTGAAAAATCAAGCCTGCTGTGCCACCTGTGATGGGCATGGTTGGGAAGACAGGGAATTTGGTCTGAAAAGATGACTAGTACTCTGTTATAAGCCAATTACTCTTCTGGAAAGATGAAAACCTACTGTTTAAAAAAAAAAAAAAAAGTATTTTTCCCAAGTTAATCAATATTGTCAAATCTATTATTGGGCAACAAATACCAAGCAAAAATATTAATTCTGCTCTAAGACAAGTGTTTACAAAACAGATAGTTACTAGAAAATTATTAAATCTGAAATTCCAGCTCTTAAACAAATGGCTTCATCTAAATTTAACACTTTTTTTACATATGCATGACTTGTATTTTAGTGCAACAGCAGCACTCTATTTGCCTTAGAATGCAGTTTGTTCAATTCAGCAAGTCCATCTGAGTAGATTTCCATCAATACTCCATGCTCTACAAGCCACATGGGAAGTCACTGAAATGTGCTGACACATACTTAGCTATGAAGTAATTTTGCCTAAGAGCAGGTTATTTCCTAATTGTTCACCACTTGTTTTTTGGGTCATGTCTATTGTGTCATGAGAGAAAAATCACATGCCATTCAGAGCCAGGATGAGCCACGTGGGTTCCTTTTACCTTCCAAGGGCAAGAAGAACTACTGACAGAAATTATTTTTAACTGACTTGTTTGTTCCTCAAACAACTGAAGTAAAAACTTCATCTTGTAAGGCTCTACTCGAGGCTGAAAAGATTACTGACTAGACTTTTGGTAAGCCACAAGATGGTATTAAGTAGCAGCTGCCATTTATGAATGCTGCAAGAAGAAAAAATGTACACTGCCTTCCTTCCCAGCAGCTGGCCATGAAATATGGATGCTGTGCTGAAACTGCTTCATCATTTCACCATTTGTCCCTAGACTCTGAATCACAGACTATCCTGAGCTGGAAGGAACACACGAGGATCATTGAGCCCAACTCCTGCACGAATGCTCCATATGGGGATAGAGTGTGGATATACAAATGTTAAAGCTGAGATAAACATAAGTGCGTAATTCACTTGTTTCTATAGAAATAACTTTTTAGCCTTGGATTATTTATACATAGTTAACAGGCTTCAGAACATTTGCATGGCAATGTTAGGCAATGTTTGTAGGACCCCCTTTTGTATGTATATGGGGCTAACAGAAAGAGGGGTGTATGCACATGCATAGTTTTTGATTTTCAGAGTGGATTTGCTTTCTTGTCTGAAATCCCATGTCATACACTGTTGTCTGGGGCTGCAGTCTTATTGCAACAGGACAATTTGTATGTTTCTCATGCATCATGGGAAAGATTGTCACTGTGGTGATTAATACCAGTAAGTAGCACAGTAACATGAAAAGATGAGCACTGAACATGCCCTCAGCTGACTGTACTTGCTGGGTATCTGCCTTCAAAGTTGTAACCTCTGCAGTCATCACCTGGCCTGTATTTCCTGTGTGTGTGTTTGGGTGTACACATCATGATGGACTGGAAGAAGGAACTTCATATTTACAAGGACAGATTTACCTAGCCCAAAAATACAAATGGAAGTACATGTTCCAATTTGAATATAAGTAGCATTTTAAAATAAAATAATAAATAAATAAATAGAGTAGCTGACAGCTAGTCTATTAAACCTCACACTCTTAGAATTAAGGCAGTTATACACTTGCAGTTGTTACTCCAGCGTAGTCACTGTCTTGATATTCTAATGTGTTAGATGTCTCTTTATATAGACTTGTGCAAGTAGTTGAACATAGTTAATGTTCATGGTCAAACTTTTTATCTAAGGCTGATTACCAGAACAATTTAGACTGGACCTTTGAACATTGTCTAATCCAGGCCTGCTCAAACACACACAGGCAGTTCAGGTTGCTGAGGGCCATGTCAAGTGGAGTTTTAAATATCTTCAAGGATGCGGATTCCAAAACTTTTCTGGGCACCTTTTCCATGGCTTCTAAATGTTTGGGGTTTTCTTATTTTTTTACTTTCCCCCCCATCTCATACCTGGCTGGCTCTTCTCTTGTTTCCACATAGGCCTGTTGCATCTTGTACTATTGCTGTACATTTCCATGAAGGGAAAATGCCTTGTTTTAAGCAGTTAGTGATGGCAACAAGATCTTCCTTGAGCTTCCTGTTTCTCAGGCTGAACATTCCCAACTCTCTCAGTCTCTCTTCATATGTCAGGTGCTCCAGCACCTCTGACCACCTCTCTCCTCCCCTGGTCTCCTTCCAGTGTGTCTGTGTAACACTCCAGATGTGGTCTCTCAAGTGTCAGACAGGAGGGGTCCCTTTCCTCACTTTTGCTGCTCCACCCGGGATGCATGGCTCATGTTCCCCTTCATGCTACCAGCACACTGAGGTCCTGCAGAGCTGCTTTGCCATCAGAGAGCCCAACTTCTCCTGCTGCATGAAGGGAGAGACTGACACTCACTTTACAGACTGAGGTCTCAGGCTATCCCTAATAACCAGACATGTACCATATATTAATATATTGCTGTTCAAATTACAAGCAATACAATCAACATATACATAGATGCAAACTGCTGAGTAACAACAACATCTGACAGAGGAGGCCAACTTTTGTAAACCATTATTTGTTGTTGAAATGTTTCGAGTTGCTATTCTCCCTTGCTCTCCCTCCTTATTTATTTCAGCTCTTTAGTATCAATTCTGTCCCTAACACCACCCAAGGAAAGCTTGGAAGTTATTGTCCTCTCTTGGGAAGATCTGGTTCCCCTTTGTTTGAAATGACAATTGGAAATAGGAAAAGGCCTCTGTGGTGATGTTACATTCCAATCTACTGTTTTTCTTAATGTAAAAAATCCTGAAATTCTGCCAAATTGAGAGTTTCTCAACTCAGTTTCCAAAGTACCCCAAACAGTTTCCGAATACTCCAAATAAATTTACTATGTTCCTTGAGCAAAAGGTGCTCAAGTAAGCTGAAATCTAAACATTTGCTTAAACCTCACTAACCTCTTTGGCCAAATATTGCAAATGCTGACCTATGGAGTACTTGAGCATGTTCAGCATAAAGCTGAACAAGTGTCCTCTGTAATTTTTGGTGTTTGTGGCCTAATATGACACTGAAATACGGGCATAAAGTTACTTACTTCCCATACTTCCATCCTGTCCAGGTATGGTGTGTAGATAAGGAAGAGCATCTCAAAAATGTGAAGATGAAGTGGGAAGCAAGCTAGGTGATGCACTTTAGAAACAAAGTGTAAAGGACAGGACTTGGGAAGAATGAAAGAAAGTGCCAAAATGTCCCTGATTTTGCAGGACTCTTGAGTCAGGCTTAAATAGATGGCATCCACTTGTTAGGACAAAAGTGTGAACACTTTAGCTGTGGAGACATATCTCAGGCAGGTACAGGTCCTCAGTACAGAGTTAAAAGATACTAATGTTGATCACCTTAAATGTAAGTTTTGGTACATAGATACAAATAATGTAGGCTTTTAGAACTAAGTACTGGGGAGCTGGGAAAACCCAGGGTGAAGACTCTTAAGTGTAACTCCAACTTGATCCCTCTGTTCCACTTACAACTAGACTCTACTGGATCTGCTGGATCACGGAGATTGTGTGTGACACTGTCCATGTCACTTGAGAGGAGCTCTTCACAAGTGGCCTTGATCCATGTGCTCATTCACTGATGTCCAGCTTGTTCCTTCGCGATCTTACTCAGCAAAGTGCTCAAGGCTTGCAGCAGTGACTGAAGTCAGAAGGGGCTGACTTCTGAAGATTCCAGGTACAAAGCATTGTGCTTGAAGTGTCTCAAGTGGGCATTGTAATTTATCAAGAGTCTGTCACTATCATCCTTAAGGACTCTGGGCTGAAACCTGGCTGTGGGGCTGTTAGATTTGCCTTTCCCCAAACAACTGGTAGGAGTTTATGGAACTTTCCAAAGATTTTGCAGGGGAAATCCCCAAGGAAAATGAACAGTAACAACATAGTCAATGAGATAGCATGAACTGCATGATGAATATTACATTTTATGTCGTACAACTTTTATTCAGCACGTACAGAATGTAGGCAGAGACTTGGTGGAAGTGAAAGTGCACAGGCCAGTGTTTAATTGCGTGATCTTCCTGTGTCCAGGCAACATTGTGGTGCAATCCAAGGCAACACTTGACAGCTCCCTACTCTTCTTTTAATGTTTGACTTTCCTGTTGTATTAAAAGAAAGAAAAAAGCAATATTTTTTGAGATGCTGCAGAATTAGTATACACATGAATTTACTACAGCATTTTCATGTTGTGAATTGCTATGTATTTGCTTCTCCATTTCTTCCTGGGGAAGGAAGGGTAGACCTACTCTTAAAAATTACAAATTTATTACACAGGAGCTTTACTCAGTGTTTGCTTAACAAAGAAAACACAAACAGAAAGTGAAATCATTGTTGAGCCAGTTGTTACTATGCTTTCTGTAGAAGGCTGATGATATTTAATTTTTATTCCGTTTAAGGAATGGTAAGCACAAAGTTCACAGAATCGCAAAATTGTTAGGGTTGGAAGGGACCTTGGAGATCATTTAGTACAAATCTAACCAAGACAGGATCATGTGAATCAGGTGACACAGGAATGTGTCAAGTGGGTTTTGAATGCCTCCAGAGAGGGAGATTCCATGGGCAGCCTCTGCCACCCTCAGTGTAGAGGAGTTCTTCCTTATGTTGAGATGAATCTTCTTGTGTTTTAGTTTATGGACATTTTTCTTTGTCCTCTTGATGGGTACCGCTGAAAAGAGTCTGGCACCATCCTGTTGGCACCTGCCTTTGACATATTTATGTGTCTCAGTCTTCTACTCTCTCAGTCTTCTCTTTTCTAGACTAAATAGGCGCAGCTCCCGCAGTTTCTCCTCATAAGAGAAATGCTCCACACCCCTAATTGTGGGTGATCAGTGATAGCATCTGGAGACACTAAAGTTGCTTTTTTTTTTTTTTCTTTTTTGGTATTTTTTTTTCTTTTCCCTATCTTGATACTTTCTACACCATTTTTTGAAACTTTTCTTTCCCAATTGTATTGGTAAATGTAATTTCTGTTTCTGAGAGGCTTCTTAGTATTCTCCCAAGAAAAGCAAACTTGGAATGAGGGAAGGAAGCCCTGTGACATTTTGAGCAGTTGATGTAATGAGGGGTCAGGAGCTAGAGGAGATTTCTCTAGTGAGCAGTAGTGGAAGGTGTTCATGTTCAGTTATTAACATGTCTACAGATGCTGATAGCTGAAGGCTTAGTATCAGGAGTCTGGTTTTCCTCTCCAAGTAAAGGACTGGCATTTTGTGGGGAGTTTGGGACTGTCCTACTATTCTTTTTGATTTGTCTTCAGGATTTGTTGTCTTCTTTCCTGCAGTTTTGTTTCTAAACTTGTACCTTCTAGAACAGTGTTCTAGCAGAGTTTTGGATGTGATATCCATCACTGTATAACATATTGCGAACAAATTTAAAATCTAGTATTTTGGGTTATCTTTGATGAGTTACGTTTGTTATCTATGATTTAGTTATCATCATGATGTAGCTATTAGTTACAAATTTTCAACTCTCTTTACCAATATTTTAGTGACTTCAAACTCATTCCTCCTGTTCCTGTTTTACAGGCAGGATGAAAGACCGTTTAAGTGAGCTGCGTGAATTTGCCAGGTTACACAACCAAGAGTTTTCTGATAGTGATGATGATGAAAATTCACCCCAGGACATTCTCCTTTATGAGACAGATTATGCCTTGGAAATCCTTCATAAGGACATACAGAGCATCCGGACAGAAAATGACCACCTAAAAGCAGATGTCAACCGTCTCAGAAAGCAGAACAGCCGCTTTCTTACTTCCATGCGCCGTCTTAGTAGCATCAAACGAGATACTAATTGTATTGCCAGAGACATTAAGAGCCGTGGAGAAAGCATCCACAGGAAACTGCAGGTAATGAGAGATTTCTGTGAAGATGCAATAACAAAATATGGAGCTATGTCTGTCATTGCCAGGGTGGCGAAGAACCACTACGTTGACCTCATGCACACATTTCAGGACGCTATGTTTGATTACAATGCAACAGAGATGAACCAGCGGGAGAACTGCAAGATTCGAATTCAGCGGCAGCTGGAGATCATGGGCAAAGACGTTTCTGGTCACCAGATTGAGGAGATGATTGAGCAAGGCAAATGGGATGTCTTCTCCGAGAATCTCTTGTCGGACGTTAAGGGAGCTCGCGCAGCCTTGAATGAGATAGAGACGCGGCACAAGGAGCTGGTGAAGCTAGAAGGTCGCATTAAGGAAGTTCATGAGCTCTTTCTGCAGGTGGCCCTGCTGGTGGAGGAACAGGCAGACACCTTTGATGTTATTGAGATAAATATGCAAAATGTTGAGGACTATGTAGGAGATGCTAAAGACCAAGTGAAAAAAGCTTTGGAATACAGGAGAAAACATCCCCTCAGAACAATCCTCTGCTGCTGCATATCATGTTGCAGAAGGTGATGGTCCCACTGGAGCTATCACAGACTGACTTGAATGTCTTCAAACTCAGCTGTTCTTTCCAGAGATTTTTTGTAATGACAAGCCCTAGAAATAGAGGGGGTATTTTATATTTTGCGGTTGGTTTTGTTCATTGCCTGTTTACTAAATGTGCTGAAGGCTGTTTGTATTTATAAACTCCTAGAAATGTTGATAAAACGATTTTTAATCTAATTTTTATTGAAAGGTCCTGTTACTGTAACTAGAGGTGCAATATCTCTACAGCGATACTTGCTTCATCTAGGCAAGAAAGAAGAATGAAAAACTTATCCTAGGGAAGACGAATACTTTTAAGAAGTAACTTTATTCTTATTTGTTGAAGTGAGGCTGCAGGTGATGAAGTCTTATTGCCTGGGGCAACACAGTACACCACAGAATCAGGAAGTTTCAGTTTTAACTAGTTTGAAGCCTGCTTGATACGCATTTGACAAAATACTGAGCCTGGAGCAAGAGCAGGACACAGAACTAGTTTCTCTTTCAACTTGATTTTCAGCTGCCTTAACAGAAGTGGCTGCACCTTAAATGATAATATGCAGATTTTGCTCTATTTGTGTGCAAGTGACTGCTTTTTTCCATTTTGAGTACCCAGCTCTCTCAAGGTGGCTAAAAGCACTGCAACACTGAGGCAACTCACTCACTTTTAACTTGAGCCACTCTCGACTCTCAGTTTCAAACCTGCCATGCTTTCATGTTCTGATGCACTTTCTGCCAATTAACACTTCAGCCAGAGGCAAAACATGGAGTAGCCTTCTGCAGAAACATGTATAAGACAACAGCTGTGGGGTTGAGAAAGCTTTGTAGGATCTCCTATCCTAGTACATACATAGAAGCAGTTTTAGTGGAATGACTGGCCTGTCAGTACACTTTTATTTTTTATAAGCATTGACCAAATATGGATTTTTTAATACCTATTTTAAATAAAATGAAGGATTAAATTTTTTTTTAATATGCAGTTTTACTTGTGTACAAAAATTTTGACTCTTCTCCAATTGTTGGGAAATCTCCACCTGGGAAAGCAAACAGAACTATTTCTTCAGTACACCTGAAGAAAAAAGAAAAGAGTTTCATGCCATTTCAGTGCTCTTTTCAAGCTTAAAAGGAAACTCTCCTTTTGTGGGAGTCTGCCCTTACACAAGGGCAAACCAGTAGGTTTGGAGTATTGCAAGGAAATAAAAAATGTGCTGTCCTGGTAAGCACTGAGCATTGTCAGTGGAACATATTCACAAAGTCTGGTGATTGATCGCAGCTCCTGCTTCTGGAGGTTTTCCAACTATATTTATAGGTGGCTTCCTGATACACTGTGATCTATTGCTGTCCTTTGAAATAATGCAGGACATTTGTTTCAGATTTTTTTTAACTAATGGTCCTATTTGTACCAATTTTAATAAATATATTTCAACATTTCAAATATTTTGTATTTGGGAGTTTTCCTCAGATGTGCATAGATGTACACCTTCCTGCACTAGTTGCAGTGAAACTTCTCCCTTCTTACCTTTTGCACCCTGATTTTATCTGTGAAAAGAAACCCCAAACATTTCTTTCTATTTGTATTAATAAAACAACAAAATAAATCCACTTCCAAGCTTTCATATCTTACTGGGAAACAATTTTAGTCAGACAGACTTTTTTACATAAATAGAAACTAAAGGGATAACTTTTCACAGAAAGCGATTGTCCCTTTTGCTGTAGCACCTGTCTCTGATAACATGGAAGAGTGAGGAACACTGATCTCCTAAACTATAAAATATTTTGATATTCAGTGGTGTACTGGTGATATCAGTGTTGTGCTTGTCTGAGGATGTCTCCAGTGAGGTGTTCAAACTTGAAATGGGAGAAAGGAGGGTGATGAGCTGGGATCACAGCCAGTGGCTTTGGTGCTACTCAAGAAGACAAAGTTGTTTACTCTGTAGGTGCTGCCACTAAGTGGAACTGTGCATTCCTCTGAGAGTCAGCATGTGGGGATAAATCATGAAGAATGAAATACTGTATTTCCTTTCACATGCGTATTCCTAGCACTTGCTGATGTTTTTGATAAAAAATATGTACTTTTTTTTTGTGCTCGTTCTTTTTTTGCATCTACAAATGGAATAAAAGATTTAATAAGAAAAACTGGACGTGCAGAGTGTCGTGCATTGAATCTGCAGCTCTGAATATTTTTTTTGTGTTTTCAAAGTTTAGTTTAAAAGTTGCTGGACTAAATTATGAATTGGTAAAAAGAGATTAAACAAGGCCTAGAAAAAAAAAGGCATCCCAATATTTGTTGCCATGGTAAATGAAATGTGTTGCATGTTGAGATAGACTTACTATTGTTTTTTCCCTAAAAATCCCAAGAAAAATGAGTTTCATGCATTCTAAGATGATACTCTGTTAAAAAAAAAATCAATTTCATTCTGGCAGTTCTGAGAGAACTTGATGATTTCACTAGTAGATAATGCAAAACTAGTATTCAAATCTTTAGCTTGATTTGAGGCACAGGGAAAGAGAGCCGAAAGAAAAGATAATTGTAGACCTTCTCTCCTGACTTAGGGCTGTTGCTGTAGGGAAAAAAAATGAGAATTAGTCAAAAACCAACCTGATACCTTTTAAAACTATTTTTAAGATGCACTGTAAGAGACACTTAAAAATTACTTTCAGTAACTGAAGCAATCATTCTGTCATTCTCTTCCTTGAAAACAGGTCCTTTGCTTAATACTTTGGGGTTTTTTCTACGCTTCGGTTATGTAAGAACTCAAATTTAGCCAGCCCATGAAGTTGCCTAATCACAGTTGAACAGACTTTTGAAAAAAACCCTGATCACACTATAGCTGCAAGGACTCATGCCACACAGGAAGAGTGGAAGAAGATGATAAAAGTTGCTTGATAATATGTTAGCATACTAATAACAGAGGCTGCAGAATGGACATCTTCTGAGGAAAGCTGCCTTCTCCTTCTGAAAGTCAGCACAACTCCTATGCAGATGTGTGTAGCACATTCTATAGGTTGGTAGGGTTTTTTTCCCCTCTTCCCTCATATGGCAAACACTTAAACTGGGTTTGAGGAACGAAGAAGTTAAAATCTGACAGGGGATGTTTTAGCTTTTAGGATTGCTGTTACTTTGGTTTTGTTTCCTACTGAAGCTGAAGTTTCACAACACACACCACCAATCAGCCACCAACCAGTCCTTTCTGAGGAGGACAAAGAAGAACTGGCAACCAGGGACACTTTGCTCCTTCTAAAATATGTAAGACAGCACAGCATACATATAAAAGAGACAAAAAAGTCCCCTATTACAAAATATAACGCTTAGTATGTAATGGATATGCATATGGGTTTCCATTTCATCTTGAGGAATTTTTTTTTTTTTTTTAAGCATGGGTTTCATTTTACAGAAATGGCAGTGAGACAATTGCTTCCTCAAAATGAAGGACCAGACTGTGGACACACTTGCACACATGAGCACGTATCTTTGCCACATGTCTTGGGAGAAACTTCCTGAAGTAAAGGGATAGCTCTTAAGATCCAGATTTTGTTTTTTTCTGGTAGCTGAACTGAGTAGCTGTGCTAAACTGCTGCTTTTTTTAATCTAACCTGCATTAAAGATGTTTTGAATGCACAGCCCAAGTTGTATTTTTTATTATTTCTTGAAAACAAAACATTCTCTAGATTTTTGAACCATGGCAGCTATTTGAAATTGATTTGAAAAAGGAAAGAACTACATGGGGTTGTGGTTCTATCTCTAGAAAGTAGCAAGATATAATGAAGGCAGGAAACAGTGTAATTTAATAGATACTGTATGTGGTGATTCTGGTTAATAAATTTCAAATGTAATGGGATTTCCACATGAAGCCATGCTGTTTGTTTCTCTAATATGTAAGAAGGCAACAGAAGATCCATCTTCTTCCATGTTTTTAGCATATTATGTAGTGTCTTCATTATGGTTAGGCCAAAGCAAGTAAGAGCCAGCAGAAGACAGTTTCACCGTGCACACAGTGTTAGGGCACCAAGTCTGCACAAGAAAAAACAACATTTTACTGTGTGTCTTTGAAATGGTGTTAGATGTGAACAGAAAAGTAAAAAAACCTAACAGTGTTTCTCTACTCAATACTTTGCTGAAAGTAAAGTAAGTATTGAGCACTGAATAGAGAGCTACGGCATGCCACGCATTTCAAGGCAATGACACGGCATAGGTTCCATTGGAAGAGCTGTTCTTTTATTCATGAGCTCCCGCCTGTGAATAACACGTACGGTACACGAGACCACACGTGCTATTTTCCCTCACAAGCATGCCTAGTGTCCCGGGGGTCTCTGAGCACTAAGAGCTGAGGAGGTCAGGCACCACCTGCACCTGCGAGTGCGAGCCCCAGACCCCTTGCAGAGGGGCAGGGACAGCCAGGGTGTCCAAGACCCGAGCAGGCAGCGTGCTCCTGTTCTCCTGGTGGGGAAGCAGACGGCCTCCGCCGGCCTCCTCGTGTGCTGGAGGCTGGCACAGGCCCGTGTCCTCACCCTGCGCTCATTCCTGTGTGGAATATGTTTCTCACACCTCAAAGGTGCCAAAGTTTGGCGCCATGCAGGATGTCCATTTCCTCCGCTGGAAAACAGCAGCGGGAGTGGGAGGCAGCGCCAGGGGTAAAGTCAGCGAAGCGACACTTTTCCCGTGTCCCGTCTGATGCAGGGAAGAAGGGGGAGGTCCCAGGGCAGGCAGTAATCGGGAATATTGCCATAGGTCCTTCCGGAGACACGGCATATAGTGACGAGCAGCAAAAAAATCTTTCCCTTGAGATAATTTTCCTCCTCATTAAGCATAATTGATAGCTTTGGGCTTTGTTGGTTTTGGTTTTCCTTCTACGAGCGAGAGAAGATACATTCCAGGAAACACTCGGACGGAAATAATAAAGCGTCGGTGTCTTATCGGCACAACCTCTCCTCTCATGCCCGACGAGCCCGCCGGCACCGCGGCCCTGCCCGCTCTGAGCGGGATGAGCCCGCCCTGCCCACGCCCGCAGCCCTCGCACCCGCTGCTCCCGGGCCAGCGCCGCCCGCCCTGCTCTCTCCCAGGGGCGGGCCCGTGCCAGCGCCGCGCACTTCCCCCGCCTCTCCCTTCCGCTACGGGCCCGGCGCCGTGCGGCGGGAAGGAGGCGACGGCGGGCCCGCTCGGCCCGGCTGGGCCCGGCTCGGTCTCGGTCCCGGTCCGTGGCAGCGCTCCCCACCGGGCCTTGCCCGTCCGCCTCCAGCCGCCGGGAGAGGCCGCCCGCGCGCGCCGCTCCGTGCGCTCGGCGCCCGCCGCGCTGGGAATAAAGGCGGGAGGGAGCGGCGGCGGCGGAGGGGGTGTGAGGGGGCACCTCCGGGGGTCGCGGGCGGCCCGGGGGGCGGTTGGGAGCGCGGCCATGAATGTAGGAGCGGCTGCGAGCGGTCCCGGTATCTGCACCAGGATGGCCGAGTGGTTAAGGCGTTGGACTTAAGATCCAATGGACGCATGTCCGCGTGGGTTCGAACCCCACTCCTGGTAACTGACGTTTTTTTATCGGGAGAGCCATCCCGACGCGGGGCAGGGCGCGGTGTGCCGGGAGAGGCGCGGCCGCAGGGAACCGGGGCCGCCGGGACGCGGCGGGAGGCGGACGAGGGGCGGGGAGCGGCGCCGGAGCGGGCGGATGGCGGCTCACGGCGAGCCGTGCGGGTGTCACGGCGGCGGGCGGCCGGCGGGGGCAGTGCGGGCCCGCGGGAGCCTCTTGCAGCCGCGTTACATCAGCTTTAAAGTCGGAAATTAAATTATGAAATTAAATGCAATTTTTTAAAAATAGTTTATATATATATGTTATATATATATATATACACATACACATTTGTGTATATATGTGTATATGTGTACACACTCAGCCACAGCCTCGGTGCTGGAGCCTCGGGCAGGGGCAATAGGCACCTCCAGCTTTGTCGTCCCCAGATTGTGACTTTGTTGTTTGTAATTCCTTTTTGTTTTCCTATAGGTTTGTTTTCCCTTTTTCCAGTTCCCAGCCCTTTGGAGGTTGCATGCCATCCCGGAAAGTCAGTGTAGCTCCACATGCGCTGGGGTATGGAATGTCCGCAGGTGTCCCGCCTGCTGAGGTGTCCCTGGCTAACCCGGGACAGTGGTGGGAAGGTGATCCCAACTTCTGGGGGAATGGTCCCTCATGCTGACTGTACCCTAAACTGTGCCAGGGCTTAAAGGTGAAGTTAAGCAGAAGGAGTGTGCCGGACTTTCAGACTGACCTTGTGCTTTTGTTTCATTTGGCAGGACACACGAATCAGTTGCTCTGCGTGTTGAGGTGTTTAATTTGCTGGGACATGGTTCTGTTGTCTGGGTTTTGTGGGTTTTTTCACAGAGTAGTATCATTATCTTTGATATATTTGAAGGTGTGGGAAGTATAAAGCCAACACATTTTTAAATAGTAGTGTTTGTCAGAGCATGCTGGTCAAATTCTAACACAGGTAAATGTGGTTATTCCCAGCCACCCTGTTCCAAATAATTTGATCTGAAAAATTATTTTGAACTTTCAGTCCAGATATATCATGTGATGATACAGACTAATTAAAGGATAAACACTCAAGAAAGGGATAACAACTGATGGCAGAGCTTCAATGAAATATGAAATAGAAGGTGAAATCTGGCAGGATATTTTATTCTATGCCCACATAAGATGATCTGGCATCACACATGTGAGCATGGTGAAAACACAGAAATATGACAGTTCAAGAGTTACGGAGGGAAGCCTGGTGTGTGGGGAATTTCTAGGAAATGCAAGTATGTACGATGTCTTTTTTGAGTGTTACCACAATAAAATTGTAAATGCAAAACATACCACAGTTTTTGGAACTGTTCATTAAGAAGCGGTACTGCCAGGTTCAGATGACACACACACATATATATAAATGTCTGCATATATAGGTATGTGTAATATATGTATATATACATGTGTATACACATATACATAAACACGTAGACATATAAACACATATACACGCATTTATACATATATAAATTACCACAGTTTTTGGAACTGTTCATTAAGAAGCGGTACTGCCAGGTTCAGATGTTTTTTGAAGTAAACACTCATTTCTATTCTTCATTAAGGTAGAAATTAGTGAAAATGTGTGCATGTTTGAAGGCACATTTTACCTGTAATGTTGTCAGGGTAAAATGCTGCCCTTGGAAACCCACATCTTTGCATACAAATTGTGTAGTCCTGCTTATGTGCTTATTTACAAACATTTTTGAACATACAATAAGTGCTTGTGTAGATTTTGTGGATGCAGTGATGATTTTGATGAAAACTTGGCTCCAGCTGTGTGATTTACAAGGATGAATTAATAGTGACTATTCTGCACTGTGAGAAAGAAAAAAGTAAAAATAATCACAATTTTTCAAGAAGAATAGTTGCTGAACAGAAAAAAAGGCAGTTTTTCTGTTAAAGCAATAGAGAAAACTGAATTTCTTGGTTAGAAATGTTCCTGTTTCAGGTACAGCCTTTCTCTTTCCTGAAAAGACTTGTTTTGCAGAGAACTTCCCTCAGTCCTTTGGTGAACCTGTGTTCCCTGCTTCTTAAGACAGCTTGTTAGAGCATGTGCTGATCTGGAATGGAACAGAAGAAATTTTTTTAACTGTTCTAGCTCTCAAGAAATACCCACAGAATGTACTTGCAACAAGTACATCCTAATCCCTTCCCACACTTCTCCATAAAGGAAAGTATAAGCTTCTGGGGTTATTGGTTTCTATTTTAGGTGAAGTGACAGGGTATTGTATTTCAGCCCTGGAGTGAGCATTATTTTAAGATTTTTATTTTATTGAGCAGGTTCCTTTCTTTGCTTCCTTGTTAAACCCTCATGAATTTTTGGTGGTTGCCCTTGCAATTTGACATTCTTACCTTACCTTTTTGATATTCTGGCCTTTAGTTTAATCTATATTCCATTCTGTGGATGAGTTGTTTTTCTAAAGGTGTCATTATCTAAAGGAACCTTGCCTTGTTTATTGAAGAAAGTGGAAAAAGCACAATGACTAGTGCTAGAAACTGGAATAAAAAAGGACATTCATATGCAGACAGTTGAATGCTACCCTGATGAACCAGGGGTGTTTTTCATGCCTCTGCATATTTCCTGTCTGATGAGAAGACAGTCATTTAAAATAGATTTTTCAAAAGCAATAATTCATTTTCATGTTCCCTATTTTGAGGTCTCTGTCTTGAGAACCTCAATCTGATTTGCAGGAATGCAGAGCTTTTGCAAAAACAGGTGAAATCAATGTATCAACTATATTTTAAGCACCTATATTATATATTATATGACTTTGAGTAGTCACATTTATGGGAGATACTTGATATGAATATTTCCATACCTCAATTTCCCATTGTATAAAGTGGAAGTAATAAAAATACACCGTTTGCAAAATGGGCTGCTGTGAAGTAAATTCATTCTTGTTTGCAAAGGATTCAGATGGACACTTAGGTAATCTGGGCATGTTAGACAAGGCCATGAGCGGACTATCAGTGAATTCAAAAAATAACATGAAAGAAAGAAGCTACAAAGCTAGTTTGAGCTGTGAAGACTTTACAAAGCATTGAACAACTACTTAGCCAGCAAACACTTAGCCAGCAAACAAGGTGAGAGTCTTATAGGAAGACAGCAAACTATAGCATAACCCAAAATTCTGTCTCATTTCAAAACAGAAAGGGCTCAAATCAATAAGGCAACCTATTGGTGACATAATTAGGTGGTATTTCAAAATAGTTTAATCTTTTTAAAAAACTTTCAGCAACTTTGTTTTTGCATTTTAGCATGTGATGGAAGCATGTAATTTTTTACTTGAGTTAAAACATTCTTCTCTCAATGACCACTATATCATGTTGAAATAAAAGGTGTAAAAAGGGCTGTGAAGTTCTTGATCTATTGCATGGTCTTGTATGTAGGATGATCAATAAACCCTCTTATTCATTTTGCAGAATACATTTAAAGTCTGTAAAGCAGGACTTGTCTCTTATGTTAGTACTTGTTAATTTTTGAACTGCTCTCATTTTGTGACCTTTGTGGTAAATAAGAGGGGTAGACTCTATTTTCTGGATTCCCGTCATTCTTAGGATGCTTGTTCAATAATTGCCACTATTTAATGCAGACAATTGTGTCTCTCTTTATGCGTGTGTTTATACAGGTTCATTTTTAATAGCTGCTGGGCTCTTCATCAGCAGACTGCCTCTTATCTTACCTGCAGGTTCTTAGGATCATTTCTGTTGGACTTGATAGTCACAGCCACCAAGTGTCATTAGCAATGTTAGCTAATCCTGCCTCCTTCTCCAGGGCATTACAACACACGCTCCCGAACAGATCCTTGCAACATTTTATTGCTTAACTATTTTTCTCTCTTTCGATAAGGAAAGTGAAGAGATTTTCTGCTTGGTTAGTTCAGTCCAAGCAGCAAGCTCTGGGGAATTGTGCTGTGGTAGAACATTGATGGAAGGGAATGAGCGTCTACGTATCACTTACTGGAGTGCAAAGCCCTTCAATTTATTTACAGTGCAGGTGGAGGTAGGTTCACTCTTAGGACTGACAGATGAGCCCTGCAAGTCTTGCCACGGTCACTTAGAGCATCGTCACCCCCAGCATGAGGATGGCCTAACACAGCCATCAAGAGAGATCAGGTGCCCACTCAGCTGCCCAGGTTGGTGTCTGGCATTTTAGCTCAGAGCCACTACACTGGCAGAGCGAAGGGCAGTGGCTTTGCCCTGGGGTAAAGGGGTGTGGGCATGCGTTCCTGTTTGCCAGATTCTCTCATCAGGAGGAATATATACACATGGTAACACTTTACACCAGCACAGCATTATTTACCAAAGTATATTGCTGAAAGTGTCAAAAGACTGGCCTGTGCACTAGAACACCTCCAGTCTGGGAACATTTTTCCCCTGTGCTAGCTTTGCTGCGGTGGCAGCAACCTCTGTAAGAAAGACAGAGCAGACAAGTCATGATTTACACTCCAGCAGCAAGGTTTGGCAGAGCACCTAGTTTATGAGGGGCCCTGAGTGCCCCAAAATGAAGCAGCATAATGCAGAGTGTTGAAGCTTAGATTTCTGGGATCTTAGAGCCCTGGGCTTAAAGCATACTAGCATTCATTGTCTGGTATATTTTTGGCTGTGTTAAACTTACTTAAATGAATAGATTCTTTCTTGCTGCCAGGGAAGAGCTTTTGTCTGAAGACCACAGAAAATGTGCACACTCTTCTGAAGGTGGTCCTCTTCAATGTGCAATAACAAAAAATGCCTTCCTTCCCCTAAATATTTTGAGAGAAGAATGCACTTTCCAGATTCCTTCATTTTCCTGGATTGCTCCTTCTTTTTCACCATCTGCTCAACTGTGACCTTCTTTCCAGCTTGGAAGTGCTGCAAGATCTTTCCTTCAGACCTCGTCTGCCTCATTTCTAACTGCTTGCTGAAGTGGTTCATGCAATTCTTGGCAAGAGATCACTCGCTGACCATGTGACTTGACGGATTTGTGACACCCGTCTCTTGCTATTTCATCATGCGTCGCAAACTTTTTCATGTGAGAGTGGAATCCCTGTTGGGAAGTATGGACTGCATTAATGAGTACTGTTTTGCAGCTAATCCAAGTTTGATGATTGATGAGCATATGTATTTTAGTTTCACTTGTCCTTACATATCTGTAATTATTTTCTGTCACACTCCCACCTTTTGCTTTTTGTGTGCATACTAAGAAACAGATCCAGCTGGTCTAGCAGTTAGCTGCTGCTAAAAGAGGCACAGATACTGCCTTTCCTCTGCCCTGGCTGTACTGCACATTCCTGCTGCTTCCCTCGCGTCCCTCAGTCTTTGATTGTCAAATAATATGTAACAAAAAGCCCAATTAATTTCATGTTACTTGGATCTAAAATTAATCTCTGATATTATCTCATAAGAAATTCTCTGTGAAGAAATGAGGAATTGGAGACAATTTTTTTACATGTTTTGAGCTCCCTGACATAGGCAGTATAGATCCACTGTTTTTATTCATCACAGAATGGCAAAGGCTGGAAGGCCTCTCTGAGGGTTATCTAGTCTATCTCCTAGCTCAGATGAAGGTCAGCTTGGCTCAGGTTTTGCATATCTTTGAGGATAAAAACACCACAGCCTCTCTGAATACCCATGCCAGTGTTTGAACACCCTCACAGTAAGAAAAATGCTTTTTCTTAAAAACTCTTAAAAAGAAGAGTTCTCTGCAGGTTAGACTACTGTAAGTTCATCTGAGTTTTCCTTCAAAATGGTCTGGTAGCTGCAGTGCAAACCAACCAATACACATCCATCTATTGAGTTGAGGGGAGGTAATGCAAATGATAGCACTCATCTTCATCCAGTACCATGGCTAATGACTCCTCATCCTAGATCCAGAGGCTGTCTCTGAATAAGGAATTGGAAGCATCAATATAATTTAGAAATCCAATTTAGGTAAGTCTTTCCAAGTCCTTTAGCTGCTAGATCCAGAATAGAAATAATTTATGTATTTAGTTACTGTGACTTCAATCTTTTATCATAATAGGTTGGATTTTTTTTTATTTGTTTGTTTGTAGTATTCTTTGCTGTGAGAATAACCTTTTTTTTTTTGGCTAAATGTGGTTTTAATGTTTATGTAGCAAGCTTTATAGCCATGGTTTCCCCAGTCTCTATTTTGATGGCATTATGATAGTGCAGGCTGTATCTGTGCCACTTAACAAATCCTATAGTGTTCTGTGACTGAAAACAGACTGAGACATGCCCAACCTGTTGCGCTGCATTCATTTGGGTGACCTGCCCCAGAAGCTATTTGACACATCAGTAAAGAAGGAAT